GATTAAGAAGAAGCATTGACAATTTAGTAATTTTTAGTAATTTATTTTGATATACGTTTGCATAATATTTATACACTTTTTTCCCCTTCATTAATTGCGACACTTCGAATGAAAAGATTAAACGATTGGCATTTACTATTTAGTAAACAGAACTACTACGAGTGTTCTGTAAGATTAATTTGAATATTTTAGCGATATATTTGCAGGATCGTCGGAGTTTTTCGCGTTCGATTTCAACTAACTCAAACTTCAACTAACCGTTCTCGGAAACTTCTGGCATCAGTTATTGTTTCGATTGTAATCGATTCACGTTCTCGGTAGCAGAACCACTGAATGGCGAAACGATTTCTCCACTCGAGAATCGAGAGACGCATCGCACACACCGCTTATGCGCATAAATGCAAGTTTCTTTCTAGGAATCGTTCGATAAAATTGAATTTACATCGTTTGACGCGTTAATTGAGTCATCCCTCGCAACGTAGGAATATATTATAAATTTTTTTTCAGAAAAAATGACAAAGGAAATGCATTTTCCCGTATGTGCACATGCTCATAAGCACGTTCAATCTATACAATCGACAGCGAACGTGCAATTAAGAAACATCAACAGTGAGGGAACAGCTGCTTTCGTCGTAGCCGACGAGTTAGAGTTGCTTTGATCAAATTTGACCTCTCCTGTTATCGAGCATGTGCTACTTGTGTAATGAAGTCTTGAATATGTCAGAGGTTATGTACTGAGCGTGAAGGATACGGGTAATGATCGGAGACGAGCAAAAGTACATAGTCAATTAAACGGTTTCGAAAATCGAACCTCTGGTACATACGTACATATGTGTATATACTTTTGTACTGAATCTTTTAGATTCAGGGATTTCGTTGCGGCAGAGGAAAAGATCGTTCTTAGTACAATGGAAATCGGTGGAAAGTGCTTTTTCAAAGAGTTTGGTAATTCGGGAAATTCTGTGGTATCGATGTTCGTTCCTTTATGTAACTTGCCTAGGAATTCCTTTGACAATGAGGAAGGAGGTTCTATGTTGCCCTCGAGTTGCTCTTAACGTGTGCTGAAATATTTCGAAAAGGAATTTTTTGCATTAAATCGTCATGGTTGCGACAAATTTACTATTAACGAAATGTAAATTTTCTATTAAATACTTCCTTCGTTCAAACAATTAAAACTATCGATTTAATAAGAAAGCATAAAACGTATATGATTAGTCGATTTATTTCAGTCAACGATTTAATTAGTTAATCTTGAAACGATTTTAGTCAGTGACTAATTTAATCAATCTCGAAAACATTTCAGGCAATGATTAAGTAGACAATTTCGAAAGAACTTCAATCAATGATTAATTCAGTCAATCTCTTAAATTATTTCAATTATGGAAATCGAAGATATGTGTAAAAAAAAAAAAAGAAAAAGAAAAAGAAAATATAGGAAATTCTGCTTTCCTATTGGAAATTAGAAGAAAACGGACGTTGTAAGATTTCGTCTGATAATTGAAATTAGCTTCTGTTGGATTAGCCGAATAAATAGGGCGACAATGATGCAGGGAATGAGTTCGAGGTCTTGCGAGGTCGCCACGATGAAATCACCCGGGAATTGGTAATAGAAAGAAGAGGAAGAAATCTTAGTCACTGGCACATTGTTCATACTGAAGCGCCACGGTACAGTAATATAGATGTTAATCGAGGTTAATATTCGACTTCCGGTAAGACCAGAAAGTATCTTTTAATCATACCACATATTTAGGAATTTTACAATTCCCAATTCCTTTTCTGTTTATTCCAATAGAAATTTCTTAGCGAATTAGTGCAACTAATAATTAGATTAGGTAACGAAATAATTCAGTCTTGATAAATAAATTTTAATTGCATTCGACAGCCACCCTGTTGAAAATTTTTTAATCGTAACATCGTATCAATGTGCGATTTAATTATTTAGATTTGATCTTTTGAAAACCAATCTACCATGAAATTAATTAATGCGGTACTTCTGTAGTTTTTATATGATTATGGAATTACAGGGAGTCTGAAGTTATGAATTAAAGGGTCAAGTGATCTACATATGCTAAGAAAATGACCTTCAAAAATATATAGATGCTCATTTGTTCATGAAACTGGGACAATCTAACTAGTTTCGCCAATCATCGTGCTGCCTCTCCTATTTACGATAAATTAGAGTTGAACATGCGGCACCTGTGTCTTTACAAGACTGCATCCTACGCGAACTTAATGCTAGTTTAATACCAACATGGCCGAACCTTGACACGATTCTTCTACTTCTCATATAATTGAGCATGAACCGGCTAAAGGCGACTAAACCTCTTCTACTTAAATGTTTACTGGAACACACAAAATTTACAATATTCTCTTTATTCGTTTATTACTTTGTCCGTTCGTTAATAACTTCTGTAGTTTATTACTCTTCTAAGAAGCTTTGAAGCTTTAGTGACTTTTTCATTTGCTTCGTATAATTTAACTGAAATATGTTTGAATCTTTTTTCTTCTTTCTTTTATTTCCAAAATAATTCCATTGATTATACGGCGGAGTTATATAAATTATGGAGTGAAAAATTGCTTGTGAAGTTCGTTTTTGAAATACATAAAATTTCACTTCTCGTGACTACGATTGTTTTTCCTCAAGAAAGTGAAAAAATGAATTCATTATCACGTTTCATTACAAATGAATTCATTATTGAGTGGTATTACAGGTTTTAAATTTCAAGATCTTTTATTATTTCTGAGTATTGTCTGAATTTCTTTCACTGAAAGAAGAAATGTGCAATAATGACAATTATTGATGACTACCTACCAATTATTTATTTATATTCAAATTCTGCTGCTAGACTTTGTGCTTTAGCTACAAACTTTATTCTATTAAAATCCTGATTACTGCTCTCGTCAGTTTACTATAATCCATTGTAATTAACATTAATGACTCTCTTCATGTTCTGATGAAAATACCAATTAACTTTCTATTCACGTATTTTTAAGTTTTCTAACGCTTAAATGACTAACTATCCAATCTGCAGCTGCATGCGCAGTAATTCACGAATTTAAAAAGAATATGGCACTTTAAAGAAAAATCCGTGTTAATGTTTTTTCATGAATTACTCATTGACATCATTTTTAGACAATGTTACAGAAACTGTACATGTTATTGACGATGATAAATGTCGCTACACACTTAAATAAATAAGAAACTGTCAATCTATTTGCTGAGCAATATTACGCTCAGACATTTGTTTATAAAAGCCGGTGAGAAATAATTCAAGATAAAAATCCCGACGTAGTAAGCGCATGGTAATATTACAGATTGGAAAAATGCAATGCCGGTTGCTTAAAGATTTGTCAAGGCTTCGTATCCTCTCTTTTCATCGCACCAGGGGGAAAAAAAAAGAAGAAGAAAAAAAAAGAAAAACACGCACAGTTGCGTGGCCAAATTCGTTATGAAAAATTGATCTTTCCGCGTCGTTGACCACCCTCCCGTCACCTTCGTGCTGTCCATTAACGCACGCTTCGTTCTAGAACACCGCCTGTGTGCCAGTCGCTTTCTGCATACATACATACATACATACATATATACATATAATATCGAAGTTTAGTCCAGCAAGGAGACCTTGGCACCGTTCCCCCGGTTGGTCAGGGTGGCTAAGCGAAGCAGCAGCGGTCAGCAAGAATGTAAGGCCTTAACAATTAGTTAATAATTCCCGGCCGTCCTTAATTTTCACGTCAACGCGCGGACACGAACTCCGGCGGCTAATTAAACGGGGCTAGATCGAAACAAAAGGCGGCTCTCTTGTTGACGTACGTGCACATACGTCCAATTTCAAACAACACGCATCAGTCAAGTGGAAATATGTATTTGCGATTGTGTTGGTGGCTGCACCCCGTATCATCGCTCTTGTTACGTTACATTTGGCATTTGGCATTGATCCGTGCAGATGTCAAGAGCGTAGATTCTTGATATTTTCCAGGATCT